GTTTTTCTGAGACATTGCCAGTGCACATGTCAACTGAATCGGATCTGGGCGGAAGAAGAGTCTAACTTGGACATTGTAGACATTTCAAGAATAAAAGTGATGCTGACTTGCCCGTCAAATAAGCTGTAGCCGATGCGGCCGAGTCGGTTGTCAGGCGTTCCAGATCAAAGGTTCTGATGTGACTGGCGCTCGGCCAAGCCTCCCAGACCAGGTCCACTTGGCCAGCCCACTTTCCCATCAGTTGTGCCTTCATGTACCGCATGCCGGTGACCGTGGATACGCCCATGCCATCGCCCAGAAAGAAGACCACATTCTTGGCCCTCCTAGGCCCCGCCTCCCAACCGATCTGGTAGGCTCCGGGTTGCTCAAGTGCCGCGTCCAACTGTCGTCGAGCCTCGCGTTGCCAATAGGCCGGCTCCACCTCGACGGGATCAACGTCGAGGCCGGTGACTGCAAGTGCGAGCCAAAGGAGCACGACCGTGACCGCCGCCAACGACGACGACGACGTTGGCAGGACTCGTAGTCGTGACTCCAGTCGCATGTGCAAAGTCGTGTCGTCCGCCTCGGAACGAGTGTGCCGCCGGACTGGTGGCGGAAAGCCTGTTCGCCCCGTTTTATACCGGCCCGGGCAGCCTCGGTCTTAGACCGACTGCCCTCATTCGCGTGGAATTGCATCTTGTCCTTGTCACTGTCGGTGACCGGTAGACTTTGACTTCCGGAGGCGCATGTGCACGCACACTCAGGCAGTCACGGTGGCCATGGCCAGACGGACGTGGTTGGCGACCACCAGTTGGTTGTTTCGCGTTTACAGGCCAACCTCTTCAACTCGTTCAGACGCAAACGGTTCGGGCTTCGCCGTTTCGCTCGCCCAATCCCGCAGATGGAGCGGACGCAAACTCGAAGGGAGAAAAGATTCGGTCTGCTAATTAGTTGTCGTGTTGGGGAGACAAAATTATGCACTAGGCCGACTTTGATACGCGATAAAGTATGCCAAATTATAACAATTCTCCCACTTGTACCTCGTCAAAATTGGCAATTAAACCGCTTTTTAATTATCTGTCACCTCACTTGTTGACAGACCACGAGACTTCCGTGAAACAACGTGATATTCACATAAAATAGTGACGTTGTGATGGCAACAAGATGGCGAAATGGGTCACCCCTGCATAAATAAATAT